AATTGTGTCGTCTTTGTTAAGTTATTTACTGGTCTAGAAATAGTGAATAGCATATCTTATGAACGTGATATCCCTTTGTATGTTAACACCATCAGATTTAAAGCGTCTGTGTCAATTTTACTAAATGTAAATAAATGAAGGTGACCTATTTTTTCGTTTTAAAGTGTCTTTTCAACTTGATAGCTCAAGTGGTTGTATTTTTTACTAATAAGTGAATATACGGTATGCTTGAAGAAATAAAATAAAATAAAAACACATACACACAATTTTGACAAGCGACACAAATTTATAATTGATACCTGGTTTTTTCTTAAAGATATTAAATTTGTCTATCATATACGTTAATTAATAAAATTTTTCTTCATCTGTGAATACACACTGAATTTCTTAAATGATGAATTTCATTTCCAAAAATATCTGAACATAATCTAAAAGTAATTTTCTGATAAATAGTCACATGTTCAATTTTTCTTTTTTACTCAAAATTGCATAAATACTAAATTCATTCAAGCAGCCTTGATTTTATTTATATTTTCTTAGGCTTTAAAAACATCATGTATCGTACATTCATATAGAGATTTATGTTAATTATCAGTAATTCTTTCACATGTGTTACAAGTACATAGAGGAGTTGGTTGCCTTAATTTAATATGCAGTGTGGCTAGTGAAAGGGTTAGTATTCATTTTTATTAAAATGACTATGAACAAAATAGAATTTTTCTCTTCTTGTTCATCAAGAAAAAATTCCTTCACTCTCTCTCTCTCTCTCTCCTTCTTTACTTTCTAAGCTACTTACAACAAATATGTCATTCCACATCCTTGACCATGAAAAGTAATTATAGAATTCACTACTATCTTTTCCTCTCTCATTAAATATTTACAGTAAATGAAATAGTTCACCAGATAATTTAAAATTGAAAAAAATCTACGGATGTATATAATTAGATGTAGAAAAGTTCTATCTACACTAGATTAGATTTGTTGGCGAACTACTATGATACGACCACTACTGGAGATCGGAGTTTATCTCTCTATATTATATAATCAATGTCTATAAAATAAAGATTGATTAAGCATTAGAGTCTGTACACTTGATTCTATATATTTGACATAAAATAATGATGATGATAGATGGAACAGATCATGACTAATTGACATTTGATAGAACGGAACCTTTGAACAATAGAATATCGTTTTGCCTCAACCTATATACAATAAATAACAATGGATGTAGTCGCGTCATTTTGTCTTTCTTCTTTCTTTTTGTCTTCAATAAAATTAGACAAAGAACATAAGAATAAAGAATTCATTAGAACAGATGTCAGTCATTAGCAATTTCAGTATTCTTCTATATTCATAATAACTGTTTTTAAATTGAGAACTAGTCAAAGACAGTGTGGTTCAATTTTTTATGTAAAAAAAACGTTTTATATCACTATGTATGTTGCAATAATTATTATCTCAGCATAATCGATGGTATACAAGACCATGGCAACAGTACGATTCTAATTAACGTAAAAAGATCAAGACATAATATTAATTAACTATGACATAAACGACCGGTCAGTATTTATTGTAAGAAAAAACATACATAAATCGTACGTTTGACTTAAAATTAATCTTTAATAAGGGCAAGTTGTATTATAGTAGCGCTATTCAAATGAAACTGTAACTCAAAATCTTTTCACTAATTTACTGAGTACAAGAAGAACATATGAAATTCAAAAATGTTTTTGCCTGAAATAGATAGTACATTAGCATGTCTAAATCATCACTGTCTTAGCGAAACAAAAAGCAGAAAGTGTGTAAGCTTTTGGGAGAACGTTGAAACATTTTGGTTAAAGGGTAAACCATTTTCGTTTGAAAAATTAAATCTTACATAATACATCATCTCATGCACAACATTTAGTGACATCTAAAGAAATTGAGATCATCATATTTTTTCTCGTAGTGATTTCGAATCTTTAAAGTTTCGGGTATATCTCCAAAAATTCGGGAGACAATTTATGATTGAGAGAATATGAAAAATCGACAAGTATTCGCTTCTGTTCCATTAACATGGGTCTGAATATTATTGAAAAACGAATGAAAGTTTTCTTACGCGAGACAAATTATTCTATCATTTTTGCAAATAGGTGGAAATATATTATTATTTAATTTTTGAGAAAATAAAAAAGGCTCTTTTTACTAAAAGAGTTGTTTTACAGTATATTATACAGTACAATGTACAAATTGCCTTCTGTTACTACCGTTTTGATTTTATTTTTAGAAATAATTCGACATAAAACATTATGATATCCATTTCAAAAAGTCTTCGTATCTAAGTCAATATTTTCTGACACTTACCCCGTTTCTACATATTGATTTGTACAGTTATCAACAATCCTACTTCATGCCTGTCGTTGTGTATTGTAACTATAGTGTTTGAAAAAAGCCGTAGATTTATGATTGATACGTTATCTAATCATTCCTCCCTATCTTTATCTATCTGTTAGTAGTTCAGAAAAATGATGATGCAAAGAGTACATCTACTAACTCGGATGAAGGTATTATATGATGAGATGAACATAATTTGTTGTCGTATGTCCGATGATCGATATTATTTGATGGTTTAAAACAAGTTTCTTTCTCGTTTTTTTTCTTCTGTCTTTCATTAAACACACACATTACATCCTTGAATTATAATTGTAAAGTAATACATATATTTATATGCGATGAACAGATAATAAAACTCGGATATTGATGATGTAAAATACGTATATAGATATATTATTCTTTTTTTTTAGCGAACATATTTTCCTTTGTATTTGTTTATAAGTGAGTATAATCCTTGTGTTCTTTTAAAAAGATAGAATAGAGTGGGAGAAAAGGAAAAAATAATTAATCATGATACATGTCGAAAGAATTAAACATTAACAAATGCATCATAGCTAAAATCAACTACAATCTATTAGGATAATTGAAGTTGAATCATGTCAGATAAGCAGAATTTAACAATCAAATAACATTCATGTTCAGTTTATAGAAAAATTTTATGTTTGACGCACTTAAAAATACAGCATGACTTTAGAATAACATTTTTCTAACATTCTAAGTCTTTTTACGAGACTAGTCTGATTTGTAAACATCTGCAATTACATAAGATCTAGATGTTTAGATATTTAGATATTCAAATGTTAAAGTCTTTAGTTTATCTCACTCAATCTCATCTCCCCACTTTTCCTTCCTTCCGCTCCCGTAAATGTCTAAATATCTAACATTTGAATATCAGAATATCTGAACATCTCGATATTATGTAAATTGTAGATGTTCACAAATCAGACCCTATTGCTTTTTACGACTTAATGTTCACTGTAAAGAAGATATATAAAAAAGTACGAGGATAATTGGTCTGCTCCGTTTTCTAAAATAATCGATAAATTTCGACATAATACATGCGTGGCAATCAAAAACGTGACTAACACTGAAATCGATTCACACGCAATTAAAGAGCTCATCGAAATAAATTATACTATGAGAAACGATTCCTTAATTAAAAGTTGATTTTTGAATGAAAAAACTTCAAAATACTAGAAGGGTCTGAAATTTCGAAAAACTCTTCGGTTTCAAAAAAATCCAAATTATTTCCTTTTACATTCTTCTAACCTTTTGAAAATATTTTTTTCGGATTCAGCATTAAAAACTGAGTATGAGAAGGATTTTTGATCGAGGTTGAAGTCAAAGATCTATCCAGTATGGACGTCTTGGACTCTCTCTGTAAAAAGTGACGAAACAATTTTGGAAACCTATCTAGTTTTTTGTGTGATGAGATGAAGCCGACCTTTTTATTTCATTAGAACCGCCATTAAACGAGCTTTAAAAGTAGGGAGATTTTTCACTTTTTCTAAACCCGGAGCGAAAAAATCGGAATTCTCCTTAGGATAGACCTTTGAATTCACCTCTATCAAAAATCATTCTCATACTCAGTTTTTAATGCTGAATCCGAAAAAAATATTTTCAAAAGGTTAGAAGAATGTAAAAGGAAATAATTTGGATTTTTTTTGAAACCGAAGAGTTTTTCGAAATTTGAGATCCTTCTAGTATTTTGAAGTTTTTTCATTCAAAAACCAACTTTTTAAAGCTAAAATGTAGATACTCTTAATCAAATCAGCCAAGCTCTATCGATTGATGTATAATTAAGTCAAAAATAAAATGGTGTGGAAAATTCGAATTAGCGGCACCTTATCTTAACCATTACATTTAAAACATTATAACTATACAGTCAGTGTGGAGACATATCCGGATCGAAATATAATTTTTCACAGCAAAATTTTTTTATATCCCGATCAGGATATAATTCGACATCCCGACTGAGATACCGAAAAAATCTATATCCCGATCAGGAAATCAAAAATTTTAGTTTTTAATTTATAGGAAAATGATAAATTTTAATTATATGAAAGTTGAATATTCTTATTCTTCTTTATTCCCCCTCTCTAACGTTCCTAGTAGGGTCTTTTGTTTCCTCCAGCTGAGCGAAGAGCCAAATATATCTTTTTAACAGACGTAAATAGATTTCTAATTCCCCGTTAAACACAAAGCACGTATATTTATATATTATCGGCACATAAGAAGAGAATTGTGTTTCAATTTCAATATGTGTGCATCGAAAAGGAAGAAATAAAAAAAGACGGTGTGGAAAGCGATTAGATCAAGAGTATATCATTACATTATGAGCAATAGAAGATTAACCGGTTGTTTCCCGATTGGGATATAAATTCGACTAAAATTTGTTAAAAATTTGTATTCAAACATATAGTTGCTGGGAGCTTGATACACTTTTGATCGAACACAACAGAATCCGATGTAGTTTTTCGAGCTGTTCCTAATAGTGACGTCAATTTTTCCTCAAAATGTCGTCATTTTTCCCTTAATAGTTTTTACCACGAGATTTTGTGTTTTATATCCCGATCAGAATATAGGAGGTGTTCCCTTACTAACAGTATGTTATATTTTCAACATTACACATCGTACGAATCTAATGCATTTGAGTGTACTGATTGCTCTGTTATTGATTGATTCAGTTGCCTTGTGGCATATAAATATTCTTGAATAAATCTTGATACATTGGACGATTCATGACCGACGACATGTTCACTTGTTCTAAGAAGATAGATTAACGAAGCTAAAAATGTTTCAAATCCAATACGTCGATAGGGATCAAAGCATTTTTGTGGAGCATACACATTGTATGTAATATCTCGTCCGTTTAATATCTGATGTCCAATAACAGCATTTTTATCGCTGTTATTGGAAGGAAAATAGTTATTGTTAGAAAATTCTAAACATTGCTTCATGACATCTGCATCATCAGTGAGTACAAATATAGATGAAAAAGTTTTTTGTTGTTTTAATTCTTCTTGTTTCAAACGCAATAAATAGAGTAATACATTTCGATATTGTCCATATTTCAGATAAAATTCATCTTCTGGTGCTTTTTCACCACGTCGAACATACAATGCGGCTGAATGAAGTAAGACAGTTTGAGATGAAATTTGCCGATTTTCATATTTATCCGCCAACATTTGTGACCAATATTCATGCAGTTGATTTGCTAGAAGTTGAATGCGTGGTACAGGACGAAAAATGTAGAGATTAATCATCAGAAATATAAATCGTTTAAAGATTTTTGAACGCATAGCGAGTGATGAATTTTTGAATGAATGGTGAACATAAATATTTTCAAAGGCATGATTGTAAATATTACTTGTAGAATACCACTAAAAATAGATATTTTAGGTGACCAATATATTTGAACAAAATTGATTTACTAACTTTTTTTGATGTTATTTGTCTACTAATTATTCTATTAAAGTCGAATAACTGTTTTCGTATTGGTGCATGTGCATAATCCCATTTAAAGTAACTATTTGTTGTTAAGTAAAAATATTTGAAATTTCGTTTACAATCTTCCAAATTTGTCCATTCCAACGTGTCCGTTTCATAATTTATTTCTGGCAGATTTTGTGAACATATAGAAATTGGTTGAAAATATCTCAAAATACCTTCGTATAAGTAATCATCATCACCAGAATTCCCTATATTCATTCGACCGTGTTCTAATACTATCATACGATCACTAGATAACCCTAATATATAAGACATTGTTCCACTTAAACTTATTCTAAAATAGTTTACAAACCTTGAAGAAATAATTCAACAAATTGATGAAAACGTGAGAAAAATCCGGATGCCCATTGATGAGCTATTGTTAATTGACGTTTATGACAAATCTTCTCTGCATTTGACAGTGTAATAGATGAGGGAAACTGACGTTGTTCTAATAGTTCATAGGTCATTTGTTCAGCTGCACGATTCCAATGAATTTGTTGATTATGATCTTGCCATAAAATAGGTATAGGTAATCGTTGAAAATTTTCGACATCATATTTCAAAACTAAAGAAATTAATAAAAAAGAGTTAGCTATAATATTAATTTTCTCAAATTCTTACCTTCTGTTTGTTGTTGTCTCAAATCATATTGTGCATGTGTTGAATGTAACATACTTTTTATTTCGTTATTGTCATTTTGATATTGATAAAAATAATAATGTTGATTGTATTCGATTAAACGTTTGTATTCACTTGTAGATGATGTTGAGGAATCCAATGGTGGTGAAATATTTGTGGCTAATAAGACGTGTTGATTAGTTGTGATTGAATCTTGTGAAATTGAATAAAAAAAATAAAGATGAATACAACATAAACTAAATATAATAGAAAATCCGAATTTGAATAGACCACATTTCCAAATTAAATAACGATAACAAAAGATGATATCACAATGTTTGCAAATTCTTCTGAAAAAATGCAAATGTACAACAATATGCATATTTACAGTTGAGTTTGAATAAATTCTTTAATTCAATTAAAAAATCAAAAGCTGTGAACATTTCTGTTATACAATGATCTTTGTTCGACAGGTGAAATGACATAAAACGTACAAAAGTGAAAATGATATAATCGGAATTTACATTCTCGATTTCCTTCTGGTTTAAGACTAAAGCTTAAATCAAAGTGTAAATAGAGAACACTAAAATTTTTTATATGCATATTTGATTCGAATAATGCATATTTATCTGTTCAGAGGCATTAACAATCGATAATAAAATCGCTACTAGAAGAGAAGAATTATAAAAACTATTGAAAGGTAAATGCATCAGCCTGAAGTACTGCCTAATCAATTCTAATCTTGTTTTTAACATTTTTCAAAATTGTTATTATTAACAACAGCTACTATCTTTTTCAGGTTTATAAGAGTTCTGATTGTTTTTCGAATAACTTTTGAACAAAGCATGACAGAGACTTGCGGTTTTCGCTATTCAATAGGCAAGCCCTTAAAGTATCTTTTCATAAGTAAGAATTTTTTGAAGTTATTTTTGAAAAACAAATTTTCTTAGAGATCTCTGAAAAACCACTTCATAAATCAATAATTTAACATAGCAATATATTAGTTTTTTTTCATGAGTAGCACAAAGTGTCCTGTAAAAAACGGAATCTGGGCAATATCTTCATTTTTCTTGGTTTAGGCTCAGTATCGGATTTCGTGGAATCCCTAAGATTGATATTTCTTTAGGTATTGTAATCTCGAGAATGAATGGAAATATGGGTTTTCAACCACGCTGAATCTCGTACGAACGCTGTTTCTTCTCGAAAAGTTTCAAAAACCTAGTGAAAACCTTTATTAGGTGGAATCGCCCAGCTATGCCTACTTTAACGTAAACTTAGAAAATTCATAGCTCACTCAAAATGGATCCAGACTACGTCAATACCAAGATGTACTCTGATCCTAGAAAAATGTTAAAAACAAGATTAGAATTGGTTAGACAGTACTTCAGGCTGATGCATTTACCTTTCAATAGTTTTTATAATTCTTCTCTTCTAGTAGCGATTTTATTATCGATTGTAAATGCTTCTGAACAGATAAATATGCATTATTCGAATCAAATATGCATATAAAAAATTTTAGTGTTCTCTATTTACACTTTGATTTAAGCTTTAGTCTTAAACCAGAAGGAAATCGAGAATGTAAATTCCGATTATATCATTTTCACTTTTGTACGTTTTATGTCATTTCACCTGTCGAACAAAGATCATTGTATAACAGAAATGTTCACAGCTTTTGATTTTTTAATTGAATTAAAGAATTTATTCAAACTCAACTATAGTAAATAGTCTGTATAAAAAGATCACTTGGAACTATGCTAGTAACTATCGAAGGAAATTTAACTCCTCTCGGTGCGAATAGATTCGATGCTTTTCTCTGTCGAACGGCTGTGTCAAACTAAACTTAAATGACACTGTACCGCTTCCAGAAAAATGGGCTCTTTGTGTGCGCCTTATTTTATTTTGTTTTCAAAACGTATCTTTTTTAGATGAGGTACATAAAGAAGGACGATTTTCGGAAAGAAGTACATGGAAGCGTCGATCGTTCGAGGGGACATAGAGTCAATCCTATTAACGTCGCGAATAATTAAAGGAGGGATTCACATAAGGTTGATAATCGATTCGCTTCAATTTTTGCCTAAAAAATGACTCTGTGAGTAGTAGAAAAGTATTTTTATGGAATTTTAAGTCATTTCGTGTACTATTGCCATCTAAAATCTGAGTAATTCCCCTCAACAGGACCCCAATAGCTCAACCCTCAGAGATCAGTTATAGGCTACGTAAAATGTGTCTTTCTCATGTTTCTTTCACACAGATGACAAAGTAAATACAAGCAAAGTATACCGTTAGATAGCCCCTAAAATTCTCTACAGAATGTGTATAAAGTAACACTTAAGCACAGTGCTTTGATAGCAGTAGGGCGCTTAGAATAATTCTACATATACCATACCAGTAAATTCAACCTCTGTAACTTTAGGCGCGGTATCAGTTTTGCGGAAAGTCCCAAAACTGGTATTAGGTAACATCGAATAACCTCTGAAGTAAATAGAAGCATAGGTTATCGACCATACTAAATCTTGTGGCAATGTTTTTTTCAGGAAAAGGCGAGTAAACCTAGTGAAACTGAATTTTGAGGAAAATCCACTAATTTAGCTGTAACTATACAAAAACAAAACACGCCAATCTTCCTCAAGATTCAACTAGATTGCGTGAAACCTTTAGAAAATAGTCTCTTTTGCTTGATTTACCTGCATTACAAAGTCAGAGCAGTAAAAGCATCTATTTTCTTATTATTGCTTTCTAAAAATCCGTCGTAAGAGAAAATATTAGCTTAGAGTTGTTTTGGTATTGTGAGTATTCAATCTACCCGTCTGATCATGTCCTAGAGATTTCAGTGGCTTGGTTGGATTTTGAGTGAGATATGAGTAACTAACAGTTCATGATCAACATGTGACTTTCTCAATCCGACTGACTTGCTTTATGACTTTACTTGACAACGTTGAACAGATATATCATTAGATGGAAGTTCCATATAGCCATTAAATATTATGTTGGTTGATAATAAAACGAACTATATAATTTGAAATATGTGATAAATATCACTGGAAAAATAAGCTAAAAAAAGGTTTAACGTTAATTCATTATCATACAAATGACATAATCAAACAGTGAATTTAGATGCAGCCTTTTCCATTGCTGAATATATGCTAGAGGATGTAAAGCGAAAAATAGTGGATGTTCATTCAACATATATGTCGTACTTATTGATCTCAGATGGAATAATTTTTCTATTGACTAAAACTATGGATGTTCACAGTTTAGATGTAACCAGTTCTCTACAACATAGAAAAACTGATGATTGGATTAGATAACCGGTCTGTTCTCTGCCGACTTTCTCTTTATGTTGTGTGACTAACAGTCGAACATTAAAATAATCCTTTCTAATAAATAAATACAGTTATTTCATTTAAAGACTATAATTTTTACCTGTGCATTGTCTCAAGATCAAAGAAATTCATTAATGCTTTTGCACTGCTAATATAATAGAAATATTTCTTATACATAGAGAAATGAACATTCAGTGATAATTTGATAATTGCATATAATATAGCGTCGTATACGTTGTAATTCTGAAGCGTATCCCATACTTTACTTTGAAACATAATATTCAGATTCATTTATAAACAGTAATAAATAATAGTTGATATAATGATATTGATTATTTTTATACCTGGTGGATAGAAATGAAAACTACATAATTTTTGCAAATAAATAATGAAAAAGTAATAAGACAACAGGTAATATGAATTATAAAACGAAGGCAAAGAGAAAGAGTCGTGAAATTGAAAAGATGATTGAGGTTAAATGATGAATACTTGCATAGAAAAAGCGCATGAATTTATCAATCTAAATGTCTTTCTAGCGGATGGTAATTAAGTGCCCAAAACGTAAGAACCAGTATACGATCAGCTCTGATAGTCTGTTGACGTTAATTTAATACGGCTCACTCGCATAATATACCGACACAATTTAGTTTCTTTCAAAACATAGATGAGATGTATTAGACTACCATTGATATATATCAAAGTTTTTTATCGAATCCATATTTTAGAAATATTTGATTCAAAAGATATATATTTGATTAACACTATATTAAAAAAATTATTAATAGTCATAATACTTTTTTTCGAGTGCCGAAAGAGTGGCCATACTTCGTAGTATCTGACTGGAGAATGAAACACGATTTTGAAACACGACTTTTTACGTCGACAGACATTATACAACCGTTCTTTTTATGTCTACAGACATATGAGTTTTTGCTGTGCAAGCTTGTTTATTTAGTCATCTTTTTCGCAAAATGTGCACGACGTGATCTAACGAACTACGCTACGTAGAAAACTTCTGAAAATGGAAGGATAATCTCTAGACACTGCATCGACATGTGCACGTTCTTTTTTCAAACATAAGTCCAGATTCGGCGCAGCAATATATTGCGTGTCCGCATGTGTAGTGCGTTGTTCACTAATTTCACCCAAATCTCATGTGCATGTGTTGACATTTTAACCGACAGTAGGAGTTTAAAAGAATCGATATCCTTGAGATGGGCAATTCTACAATAACACACTGGTAATCGGAAATGATACTTATAGATGAGCTGCCAATAAATGGATGAAGCTGTTTCTGGTATGATGGATGAGTTTCCGTTCGTTAACCATTTCGCTGTTCTATTCGCTGCTTCGTGAAATAAACTAATTCCCCGCTGTATATGTAGCACTAGGTTTGACCATAATGAACGAGCAACACAGTTTTAAAACTGGTAGTGGGATGTTTTCCTCGCCGCACAAAAGCATTTGCGATATTTTGCAGTTCATTTATGGTAGTTGAGCGAACGGTAATGAGGGAAAACCGGTATACGATACAAATAAGAGGAAATACTTTCAATATTGCACTTCTCTCTAAATGGGAGAGGCATATCTGTGACCACATTCCCAAGTTTTGTTTTAACGACATTTTGAGTTTAACTAATTCAGAAGGTGGTAAATGCCCCCGTTTGTCGATCGGAACCGCTAAGAAGCGGCATCAGTCAAGTTTAACCTGTCCTTGAAATGCTGGTGGTAGTAGCCAATCACTAATCCAGAAAACCTCAGTCTTCTGAACATTCGTTTTTTCCACCTGATGCCTTGTTGTAAAGATCAAACATATCATGATAGTCTCCATTTCCTCATCTCTGTTGAAGACAATAGTATCAATATCATCCGCATATGTTATTGTTTTTATTGTGCTATCGATTCCGTCATAAGGGAAAGCCTTCTTTCGTACAGCCTCATCCTGTGCACCTGGTGGGATGATATCTGGAATTTTAGGATTATTCCTGATATTATACAATAGAGGTTCGAGGCACACTACATATATGACAGAGTGAAGTGGGACGATTATGTAAAATTTTGTCGAGCTCTTCAGTATTTATCAATGAACTTTTTCAAGATTTTTTGAAAGAAATTTTGAAGATTTTTGTGCGCGGTTTGTGCAGTCATGTAATTAAGACTCTTCGCTATCTACCTGTAAAAAATCTTCAAAAAATACCTTCGCAATAACGATCTTCCAAAGAATTTGAAGAACCGTCCGCGACTTTTACGGCTTCACTCCAGCTGGGGTGAATATGTAAAACACATAGCTCCAGTTGGGATGATTCTGTAATCATCGCTAAAATAAACGGTATATTCCAGTTTTCGTAAAGGGTAATTATCTTCATTATGATTAGTGCAGATAGGTGGATTTTTATATCAGCGGATCCCTCATAATCTCAACAATACGCTGAAATCAATTTCCAACTTTTCTGATGAAAAATGACTGCGATCCTCTTGGCTCAGCTGCACGGGTGAGATGACTGCCAGAAACAGGTACCTTTAGATACCTAATTCTTTAGACGTTTATGGATAACAATGAAAAGCTTTCTCACCTAATGCTTCCCCAGTATCAACAGATAAACTTTAAATCATTTGCAAGAAAAATCCGCCAAACTGAACTCGGTTAAGAGCCTGATCGCGGATAAAAAGCACGTTCAATATCGTTACCGTCAATACCGTGCGGAGAAAAAACTTATGACAGATTTAATAATTAGTTTAGAGTGAACATTGAATTTCTACTAGTGCATGGGTTATTTCAGATGAATCTGAAGAGGATATTCAGCTCTATTGCGTGATATGGACTAGATCGTAGACGGATAATATTTGACGGAGGTAGCTCAATTCAAAAAGCGACTGGTAAAATGTTTTTGTTTTCCAATTCCCCGCATGTTGCATCATGTTTTACTCGGACTTTTCTTCGAGAACATGATGCGATCACTTTTTGAAGTTTACATCGATCCTAAGATGCCTTCAGTACTCCACAATTTCTATCTAAACGTGGTAAACGGCATTTTTACTGGAGAACTTATACAAATTCAAAGTGAGTACACAGCAATTGTGAAGGTCTAGTCTGTAGTTTAAATCCTTCCGCGTATTTCTGTCGCCATGTTGAGCTATCTTCTTTACTCTACTTCGAAACAGTAAATAGTGAGCTGTGATAACTTTAGTGGAAGAAATTTTCATCTCGGATGAAGTTTAATGTTCCTTATTCAAAATGTGGTTTCAGAATAAAGGTGAGAGAAGCTGATGTCTTATGGTTCCAACGTGAGTCTTACCAATAAGGTAACGTTTGCCGTATGTGAAGAAAACATTCACGCTTGGACTTTCAGAGAATGCATATCCGTAAATACTAGACGCTAATATCAGTTCGTTGCTAGAGTCAATCTGTGAATGAGACAGAATGGCTTAGCCCCAATCCTCTCTGCGTCAAACAGGACTGAACTGATGCTCGCTATATCCTGAAAGTCACCAACGACAAAGCGGTCTTATATCGAGGATACTCACGATTGCGATGACATCAGCCTTTGATGCATTTCTCACTTTAGTGCATTTTTATTTTGAGACCTTGCGAAGTTAACATATTTAACGAAGTTGTACATAATAGAAGTCTCTAGATTTCACACATTTTGTGAAAGCGAGCGCCTCTGTGTTTATCTCTTTTTTATTTGATTTAACATAAACGTTTCATCCTATTCTACTGTGATTGAGTCATTTTTAGTTTATTAGCTGTTTTATTTATAATCTGTTGCTTGCGTATTTGATTTTGTGACACGTTAAAATAAAATGTTTTTCGTAGTAGCCTACTTTTACAAGGCATCCCGGCGTATTTAATGCATCGTCAATGTCTTAAGAGGATCAGGATGTGTTACTATACGCATCAAAAATGCACTTGATTTACACGAGAAAAGATATCTAAAATGCCTAGGCTCAACATCTACGATGTCTCACAAAGATACTACGCGTGCATAAAACTGGAATCCAGCCGCCTTTGTAGGGTATCGTAGCGCGCCTTTTACATGGAAATTTCACCTTACTGATAAAAAATGAAGTCACCTTTAACGTGTCTAAACTGCATTTTTTTTCGAAAATGGACCTCCCTTTTGACAGTGTATTTGTACATGCGAAATATAAATTCTCACTTTGAAAGAAGAGAAAAAGAATTCTTTTGCGTTCTTACAATTCAGAAAAATTACCCATTATATCCATCAATAAAATTCCGTTACATGACGTGAGTCGCGTCGCGAAATAGCGATACGGTAGCGATCGCGATAAGAAAAAACTGTAATGAACTCTTAAGAATCGAATCGATGCAGAATTTACTGTCCGGCCACGAGATCACGAATGTATAGCGACTGCGACGCGATTACATGTCGCGCGACGACTCTTAAAAAAAGTTCTTTTTGAAAATAAGATTCGATCAAGATCACACCGCGAGTTTAAGAATGTAACGCGATCTCGACGCGATAAAGCGACTATAAGACGATCGCAGTGCGACTACTAAATCGCGACGCAATTTTTATAAAATAATTTTCTCTGGACGTAAATATCTATTAAGATCGCGCAGCGACTGTAAGAGATCATAGCGATCGCGTCTCGACTTCGTGATTTTATAGCGATCACGCCGCGGCAGACGTGAATTCATAGCGATCGTGTTAGAAATGAGACGCGAACGTCGACTTGGAACCAGTCCATTTCTGAAGAATCGTCTTTGTTGCCTTAACCGAGATAGGAACAGTAAGTTTTGGTTGAACTACGCCTAGTCCGAAATATTTCGCGAACGGAAAGGGTTCGTCTGTCCCGACCAGGAAATATTTTCTAATCAGGACAGAAAAAAGGTCGAACTATACGTATAAAAAAAATATTTTGTTTTTGACGTCACACATACTAAACTATAGCCTAAATGTCCAGGACATTATAGATAATAAATCTAGATTGCGTACAGTATTACTTAAAGTAGTGCACTAAGACGGAAAAAAACTGTGTTCTTTTTTTATTCTCTCTTGTTGGAATTTTCTTCAAGGTGATGCATTATGCATGCTTCACTCCAGTTCTCTTTTCTTCAACACTTAAAACCGACGAACAAATTATAAATCGTGACAAAAACAAATATTTTTGTTTTTGTCGATTACTACATAGCCGGGTGAACTTCTATTATATGGAAATTATCAGTTTGTGTAGTGTCTAAATGATATATAAAATGGAAGAATGTTTTATGCTGAGTTATGTGTGCGATCGCGAAGTCTTTAAGTGATGAAGTAGTGGGATAGTAAACATTCCAAATTCGTGCAATTTCTAAAATTAAGTGAAATCCATATATTTTACTAACTTTAATGGTAAAATATAGTAGAACCATAGAATAGTAGAATACTAGAACAGTAGACCATTTTTAGACATGTAAAACTTCTGAAAAAGAAAGAGAAAACTGAGAGTAGTCCGACAAGGGTTCGAACTTGATGCGTACTTCGTCATGTTAACCATTCGCTAAACCACTGATCTGCGCTGAATCGTTTCTTGACGCTGATATAATAAGTATATGAATGAAGAAAAGGAGATAGTCAGGATGAAAGTAGATATTAGTCTATACTATTCTAGTATTGTACTAATAGACGCTGTTGCTTAACTACTACTGTATTACCAAATGTGACAGAGCAACATGCTGGTAGTAGTTTCCCTCTATTAGAACAATAGAAATAATATGAGAGATGAACATCTCTGAACTTTGGAAATTCGTCCAACCCTCGATTATTAACATCAGTAAAAGTGACGACTTTTCCACTTAAGTATCATTAACATAAAATTCTGTAAGTAATTAGATCCTTTTAAAGTTGTCTCAGCTGATAGATTCATTTTAACAAATAGTTTAGAACACAATAACATTCTTCCTTTAAGACAGATATTGTTTTGAAATTTTCATTTTAGTAATTTCACCACTGACAAAATGGCCTCTTCTTCTTTACCGTCCAGTAGTGAATGTCAATCAAAAAAGCAGTGTAAAATGTCAGGAATTCTGTCATGTAAAGGCTGTCAGCGGAACTTCTGCCAAGGGCATATGAATGAACATCGACAAGAACTAGAAGGTGATTTCCAACGTGTATTAAGTGATCGAGATTTACTTTATCAACAAATATATTCCGAAACTCCAACAGATCCCC